TTACATAACATATACAATAAAATAAATTTCATACTAATTCATTCCTATAAATGTGCATATATACAAAATAATGTTGTTATAATGAATAAATAGTGTTATAAACTAAAAAATCAAGTATATTTTAGGATACTAATAGTTTAATGACAAAAGAAATATATGAATTCTTAATATATACAATTATTAAATGATAAATAAAAATTGTGTAAAAACATGTAGCACAAAATTTCTATATATAAAGAAATACATTTGTACTATAAAGCAATGTTAAAATATTATACATCAAGCACAGTTTTCAATGAATAGAAAAACTAATACAGCAGGATATATAAATAGAAAAAGATATACTGTATACTATATAAGTAAATTATTATTAAATATATTATCCTTATAATTAACACAAATAATATAATATATATAAAAATAAATAAATCGTCAATAACATATCAATATATACCATTATAACAAAAACATTATAAAACAATATATATATAATTTAATGTAATCCAAATATATAAAACAGATATTATAATAAAAACTCTAATTCCTAAAACAGAAAATATTAAATATATAATACAAATACTAAAAGTAAATATAAAAGATTATTTATATATATAAAATCCTAAACCCTAAAACTATATATATAAATCCTATAATTCAAATTCATAAACTAAAATACTTTTACCTATGATTATGCATTTGAATATATGAGCGTAATGTTTCATAAAAAGTTTTAGAAAATCAATGAATTATATATATAAATGTATTATATATTAATTAAAATCACTAAAGTATTTAGAACACTATGTTATATTTATTTTATTACAGTGGCAGTGATAATACATCTATGAACAAATAAATTGTAGCCTGAATTGTAAGCAAAATTTATGTACAAAAAATATTTTATCCGATATTCTATGAATTTATAATAACACTCCATACCCTTAAGGATAAAATACATTGCAATACTTTAATAAATATGAATACTATAACGCACATACATATTATCCATTAACATAAAACTATATATATATGAAGTTCAAAAAGTACTCTTATTAAGGGATATTTTGTTCTTTATTTACTAATTATATTAAAGAAATTCCCTTCATATAATAAAAATTTTTTATACTTTAGATCTACATTTTATTATATAAATATTTTTAGAGAATATGTTTGTTTCATACTATTAAATTTAATTTATTTGTTTTAGGATATATTTTTATAGAACCTATATAATAAAATATATTATGTATAATTAGGAATTAAGCTTATCCTTTTTAATGCTCAGCATAATAATAAAAAAAATATACCAAAACTTTTGATGTATTTCAGTACGAATAAATATTTATCAATATTTAGAAGGAAAATATAAGACAAATATATGTATTAAAAAAGTATTCACATAGATTATTCTTCAAGATAGGATTTCAATGTGGGAAAATTTAATTTCATGATAAATTAAATTTTTATATTTAATAAGTTAGAAATGTATTTTTTTATAAAAATTTACAGTATAAAAAAGTAGCATTATTATATTCATCATTTAATATATATTGCGTTTCTCCTATATTAATATGCATATATATTAATATATCATCCTATGTTATTTCCATCCAATTTATTAGGTATTCATTATGGAAAAACAATAATATGTAAAAAATATACGTGTAAAATATTTTATATATTGGGATATATGTAGTTAAAAAAACTACATACCTTATATAAAATATTAATTAGCAACATATAACTAATTATATACAATAAACATGAAACATTATAAATTCAATTATAATAATATACTAGTGAAGTTTTTATATAAAGTGTAAAAATGAAATAATAGTATAATATTTTATTATTATAGGAGAAGGCACATTTATTTAATAATATCTAAATGAAAAATTAATATTTATGTAACTTATATATAATAAATATTACAGCACTTGTATGGTAATATAGTAATAGAAATGATAATAATTATTATGTATAAATCCAATAAATACTATTATTTCTTGATATTTGATCTTTATTGATTTATTTCTATGTATATTTTTATTTTTGTTAATTATGTATAATAAATAAATAATTTTTTTAAACATATTATTCACATAATAATTAGGTAAATTTTAGGTCAAATTATTATGGATTCGTTTAGAAATATTATTTGGAGTAAAAATAAGAAGAATCATTTGGAGTTTTTAATAAATAATTAAAGAAACATAATAAAAAATTCTTTATGTAATTAATATTTTGTTAATTATATACGAAAATAGTTATTAAAATATTAATTCATATATTATATTATTTTTTGCTTATAGAGAGGAAAAATAATGGATTCATTTACTATATTACACGAAAAACAAAATTCTTCGGCATATTATGAATGAATAATTTTGGTGTATTATATGAAAAAAAAATTAATATAAAATATAAAACAATATATTATGGAATAAATTTACTTTAAATAATAACATATAAAAATAAATGCATTATATTAAAACTCAAAGAATTCTTTTTTATGAATAAATTATTTTATTATAGGATTATATTATATAATGCAAAATACATATATGTATTATAAAATATATATTGCTATGATATATAATATAAAATTATATGTTTTAATTATTTTTCGTATTCATATATAATATAACGTTTATATTAATATAATATTATATAATAAAAATAACACAATTATATATAAATATATGTGTACCCAAGATATATAATTATTTAAAGTGCATCATATACTGATACTAATGTATATATAAATTTTAAACACTTATAAAATAGTATTTATTTTATTATAATTGAATTCACATAAATTAAGATATATTATATGCATAATTTCATATAATATATTAAAAAAATGTAATTAAAATTCTAAAATCAATCTAATAATTGATAATATAAAAAAGTTTAAAACAAAAATAAGGAAATAAATTATATACAGAAGTATTTCTTATGAGGCATGTGTTTTGAACTAATGTATTTTATAGATATAAGTCTTCACATACCTTAAAATGTAATTAAAAACATAAAATAAATAATTTATAATAAAATTATATACTACATTACATATGTACATTTCTTTTAATATGAATTGAAATTATTATAGAAGTTGTGTTATATATGATGTTATTACCCATGTACTGTTTTTATAGATTTTATTGTATATTTCTAACTATATGATTTGATTTTTCTTATTATGATATGTTTTTTAAATAACATAATTTTTCCTAGAACGAATAATGCTAACAGGGTTTTAAATGAATAAAGAATTTAATAAAATTATGAATTTAATGTAAAATATCTATAATTAAATAATATCATATTTGTTATTATATTTGATGTAAATATAATATTTACCAAATATTTTTAACAAATAAAAATTCATTATAAAAAGTGTAGAACTTATTTTTTTTCTTTAGAATATACATAAATTATGGAGAGTAACCCTAAATTAGAGAGCGAAAGCGTACAACTTATATGTTTAATAAAAAAATGCATTACAAACATGGTTTTAAAATATCCCATTTATTAAAAATGAAAGCATGTTTTTTTTATTATGATTTTTATAATTTTGTTCATATTGTAACTTTTATTTTCAGTTCGATATTAATGGTATATTTCCCACATGTACCGACGGATTTAGTTGGGAATCTGATGATCATAGTAATGCCTCTCACGAATATACAACTTTGTGTAGTAAATTTTATATAGCTCATGAAACAGGTAATAATTCGCCACATTTTTCTAAATTGTGTCGACTTCTTGCTCTATATTTAGATTATATAACTACAAAAGAAGATGAAGAAAGTATGAAAAAAAATTGTTGTATTTTATTCTATTATAAAATGAAAAAAGATATAATAGATAATTTTGCATCAAATAAAAATACTAATGCTAAAGATTATTACGAGAAAATGACAGAACAAGGGCAACCGAAAATTAGTACAACGATATCAAAGATATGTATGAGTTATTCTCCCATTATTGATGATGATGTATTTAAAATTATTGAAAATCTTTTTGAAATATATAAATGGATTAATATTTTTAATACTAAATGGAGGCAAAGGACCACCGCAAATATTCCTAATTTTAGGTCATGGATAGAAAAATTAGTAAATCATCCTGATAAATATAAAAATCAACTTATGAATGAACTAGACAAAATTATACAAATATTTAAAAGCTATAAAAGTTCTTGGAAAAGCTGTCCGCTTGGCACTCATTTATTACCTTACATATCTGAAGAATGGATAGAAGGAATTAAAATAAAAATCAATGCAAAATCTGCAAATACAAAGGAAACCGAAGCATTAAATCCTCCAGATTTAATAATCCCGGGGGGAAATGGCGAAAAACAAGGTACCAAATCAGCAAGTTCTCAAGCTTTAATAAGCTCTGGGACAAATAGTGAAACAAACACAGGAATGAGTGTTGGAATGATTTTTATAAGTTCTTCAATATTAATAGTTATGTTTATTTTGTATAAGGGTAAAAATAAAATCAATATAATATATTTATGTTGTATTATAATATATCTTAGATATATTATAAAAAATTTGTATAATATAAATGATCAATAAATAAATATGTTATTTTATTTTTTCTCTAGTATACCCCTTATTTTTCATTTTTAAAACCAACGGTACGGAAATTAAGAAGAATGTTGAATAAAAATAACAAGAATAATCTGGGTCTTATGAATACATTTTATTTTGAATAAAAGAATTCATTTAAAGATAAGTATAAAATAGCATATAGTTAAGTTAAATATAACTAATAAATGCGTAAATTTAGTTATTGGTATCAATTTGTTTTGCATTAATATTTAAAATATAGCATATGAATTCTTGTAGAAAATAAATTTAATTATATTAATATGATAATATAAAGAATAAATTATAAGGAATATTAATAATACCTAGTAAAATGCCATAATATATGAAAATTCAATTTTTAATAATTAATACAAATAGAAAAAAAAGCATATTTACTGTAAAAAAATAGAATGAATTAAAAACATATATATCATTTTCTTATTTATATTAATCATGGTCAAAATATATAATTAATTTGGAAATACAAGCATTGTGTGTTTAAGTAACACAAATTATAGAACAACAAACTATGATCTGTTATAGGAAAATTATTCTATAGTATTCGAATATCATTTATCTGATTCTAAATATTTATATATGTATATAATAAATTTATTGTTTGAAATAAGTCTGAAAACGTTATGAGTGTTATATATTCTTTTTGGTAAAATCAAATGTCTCTAACTATTGCAAGTATTTAATGGACATTTAATATTATATTCCAATTAATATATTAAAAAAAAAAAGAAAAACTCTAACCATATGAACAATACTCTAATATTATTCCAAGGTATGTGTACGTACTAAGATTTTGAATGTAAATAAATTAGGATATATCTAATGTATATAATTATATAGAATTATTAAAACTTAAAAGGTATGTGTATATCTGTAATATTATAAAAAATATATATTTTAGTGGAGAAAATAAAAAAAAGATACATAATTCATGATATTAAATTTATAATGAAATATTGTAAACAATTTATGTTAAATACATATTCATTTATTTCATTGATAATAATTAAATTCATTTTTTTAGATTTACTATATATCTCCAAGGATTTTTTACGAAATAATTGAAGAAAATACAGCATTTTAATGTAAAGCATTAATTTAAATTTATCCAAAATACCTTTCCTATATATAAAATATTATTATTTCATTTGAAAAATATATTTTTGATTATGTTTTAGTTTATCATTATATTATGGTATATTTAATGAAATTATTTAAGTTAAAACAAGTTATTATGTAAAAAGCTAATATATATAGGTGTAAATTTTACTACTGACAAATATTCTGCTCAAGTAGTGGTACACAAATTACATATAAATCAACATATATTATATAGATTATTACGTGGTATCATTTATTTCATTTTACAATACTAAAGGATAAATGAACATAAAATATATTATATATAGTAAAATCTTAGAAAATAATTATAAATAATATAATTATTACTTAATAAAAATATATATATGCTTTCTTATATTGTTTTCATTAATTAATTTAATAAAATAATTTTAATATCATTATAATAAACATGATTAATATTAGCCTATCGAAAATCATATACATATATATTTTGTTAAATTTAATGAATATGATTTTATTCTTCTATTTTAAAATAATAAATATATAACATTCAGAATTATGCTAATTTATTGATGAACAAAAAACTTTATTTTTAATATTATGCTATTTTTATATTTATAGTAATGTGTAAAAAATAGAACTATTTTATTTCATTATCCTTGTGACAACAATCATGTATTATTTTTATTCAAAATAAAATAACGAAAATAGATTTTTTATATTTATTTATAGGATTTATTTATTCGCATAGACATTTTTTAATATATTTTACTCTTCATAGGCATTTGTTTTGTTTATTTATTTAATGTAATAATTCAAGCATTATTTTATCCATATCCAATAAAAAATTAGTGTATTTCACAAATTAAATATTATTAACACATTTCTTGTTTTAAATCTGAGTTCATTTTCATTCATATATTTATTCATAATGTATTACATCTGTAGGTTTATTTTCATATATTGTTAATTTAATACAGGTATTATAAATATTCCATTTTATATTGTAATATGTCAAATATATTATTTTATTTTTTCAACCTATATTGTAATAATATTATGAAATTCTTATAATACAACTATTTTTATAAGAAAATTATTTTATAACTATAAATATTTAATTTTCATATAAAATTGCAGTCAAATTAATTACCTTATAAAGCAATATTAATTAATTTACTATTATTATATTAGTATTCTTTCTAAGTTATATATAATTCTGCGACTTTTTTGAATTATTGTATCCATTTTTAAATGAATCCATTAAATTGACACCATCTTATTTATATTTTTTTAGCATTCTTCTTAAATTACTTAGATTTCGTTGCAATAATTAACCAAATGATGTATACTAAAAATAAAATTCAATGTGATATCCTTATGAAAAGGTAATTTATTATATATAAGTAGTACATTGTTATACGTAACATTAATTTTATAACATATATATCTAATGAATTAAATTTAATTTTAACATTATATAATATGAATGCGATTATTAATATTGCAAAATGTATAAGAATAAAAACTGTACCCTTACCTTTGACTAAAGTTGAGTCTATCCCTTGTATATCTGTATGTCTAAAACTGTCCTGTTCTCTAGGCTTATATCACCGCTTATTTCCTTAAATGGTATTATTAAGACAAGCCCTTATTCATGTTATATTTATTATTGTTCATCTTTTCTATAATATCTCAATTATTTTAATATTTCTATGAATTTTTGTCAAAAGATATTAAAGAAGCACCAAAATTAATATTGTAATAAGTACACAATAAGAAGAAATTTGTGGAAACCTTGTAAAATAAAGAAATAGTACTCCAGTTAAATACATTTTGATCATTTATATAATAACTAATTGTATTTTTAAGTTGAATAGTTTTGATAAGACTATAAACAATTTTTGAAATCTTTTTATTCATCACAACATAATAAATATTTATAAAATACCAAATATATTACAAGCATATTCTACTCTATTAAAATAAATGTTCAAATTTCTAATACTATATAGCAATGGCTTATTATTAATTATGCTATTCATATATTTCTTTGATCACACTTTCTAACAATGTACTTAATTACTGGTAATTAGACTTTTTCAGAATTTGATATATATATCAATTACTTAAATATTTTCAATCCATAAAAATCTTATGAGTACCATATATTTTGTTTCAACATTATTTTTGAAAACAATTATATTAATATTTATTCAACTGCATAATAATTAATTTATTTTTATTTTGTATAATATGTTCCAAAACATATATTAAGTATCTTTTTCTTTATATTTTTAAATTAATCTTTTTGAAGTAAATAACTACTGATATTGAAAAATAATTAAGCATTAATTATGTAATAACCTAGACTCATGTGTTCAATGAACTGTTCATAAAAGAATAAAAATTTAAAGGTCTATAATTGTAATTACTAATTTAAATTTACATTTAATAATTACTTTTATAATATCATAAAAGACAAAAAATATCATAAAAGAAATCATATAAAAGTTCTCAATATTCTGCTGTATTATTTTGAAAATTTTGTTTGAAATATTTCTAAAAATGCATATATTAATAATCATCCAAGGAATGTAAAAACAATTTTTGTAAAAAAATATGGGTGTTCTTTCGCACGATAACAATAGTTTTCACATTAATTAAAGAAAATGTATAAGTTAGTAAAAAATTAAGATATTATTCAGTTTTACAATAGAAAAATAAAATTTATAAATTTTTATACACGCTCTAAAAAAATAAAGCTATGCTGATATATATTATATTTTTTGCATTTCCTCTGTACTTTTTTAAATTGTATTCCTTTTTTATTTATTTTATATAATACTCTGCTGTTTATTTAAAAATTATGTATGTAATAGAATCATTTATTTATATATATGTTTTTTGTATTTTATAAATATACTATATATTGAGCGCTATATAAAATATATATCAACAAAGTACCATATTTTCTTTTTATATACTCATTATATATTATAATGAATAAAGTCATACTTAGTTATAATGCCATATTCAAGAAAATCAAAAATATAATAATATATAAGTTAATGAAATAATAAAATATGAAACTATATTTTTCAATGGAAAAATGTAATTTAAATACGAAATGACATTTATGCAAAATATTAAATATGACAGATAACTGGGGCACAGATTATACATTAATATATAAAAATTATTCCTATATTGAAATATAATTCTACTTTTATAATTATATTTATATTACAAACTATGTATAAATTAAAATGCACGCGTAATATTATTTCATTCTACTAGTTACTTATCAACAATATTCAAATATGTGTTTTCTTAATAATAACTAGAATTGAGACATTATGAACTGGAAACCAATTTAATTACTTATTATATTATATATATTAGAATAATACATATACATCTATAATATGAAACAGTCATTCCATATATATAAAGTATACTATTGGCTGTGTATATTTATTTAAATTTAATGTATTTACTTATAAGCATAATGCAAATTTTAAAAATACACATAGTTTAAATAAAATCATGTAAAATATTGCATACATAATATATAATTATTTATAATAGCATAATGCTTAAATATGGTGATATAATTGTTTCAATATTTATAATTATTTTTCGCCTGAAAAATGTATTTATAATTAAAGCACAAAAATGTAAATATTTTCATTGAATATATGTATAATAATAAATAATCATTATTATTTATTTGTCATAGAAGAATTGATGTAAAACAAAATATAATTAATAAAATATGCTAAAATATTATAAGAATATAGCAATTAAAAAAAGGCTAAAAAGAAATCTAAAATAAACTCCTATTACAGGCTTTAAATAAATTTAGATACAAGGAAAATAAAAATATATATATTCAATGGAAAAATAATCTGTAATCTTAACCTTAATGTCATATTCAATAAATTTATAAAAGAAACCTATACTGTATAATAATAATTTCTATATTTCAATTGCCAAAGCTAATTAAGTTTATTTTATTTTCATAAATTGTAATAAAATAATATAATTTTAAATTTACTGTAATAATAAAAAATATGACATGTTTTATATTTTAAAAATACAATTATATAAATAATATATTGTGATATATTATTTACAATATATACACTTCAATAAATAATATGCAAAAGTTAAAATATTTTGCCAATTATTAAAAGAAAAGACTATTGATTAAAACTAAAACCATGAACTCTAAATTCTAATATATTTTCTATTTTTTTATGCGTAATTTTATAAAAAAGTGCTATTATCTTTTTAAATAAGCATTATACTTATGTTTTATATATATTCCTTTAAAAAAATAGAGAAGACATGTTACATATCACAAACAAAACAATGCTATAATTAGAATAAAAATTAATGGTTATATTATAATAATTATACTTTTTACGAATTATACAATATTAATTGTGTAAATAATATGTTTTCATATAATGTACAAATCATTTTAAAAAAAATTATTTATGTCTTATTAATATCCAAGATTTTTTTTTTTAATAAGAAACACATTTAATTATACTGAATATGGGGGAATCTATAGTAGGATTGAATTAATTTGATATATATTACAAAATTATAATACTTTTTCATATAAATATCTATTAAATTTATATAGATATTGTTCATAAGTGTATGGATTTGTAAATATTATTACTTGTATTTTATTTTAGTATGAATCTATATATTCATCATTTAATAAGTGTAAGAATGTTATAAATTATCCAAATATAGAACACAAAGCATTTCAGAATAACTGTCAGGAAATTAAAAAACAATTTCTAAATATCAGTAATACCACAGTACAAAACATATGTTGTCAAAGAGTCGAATATTTATTTAAAATATTTAGTGAATCCTCATTTTCTTTTTGGAAAAGGAGGGTATCAAATATTTGTATTATTGGCTACACAAAGATGAACTAAATGATGGAAATCATAATAAAGATATTCAAAATTTATTTAAAGAATTGGTTAAGATAGCTGAGGAAACTTTTTTAAATAGCACTCCTCAGAATTATCATTTACAATATAACTTTGATGATTTAGAAATATTCAAGGACCTATATAATATTAATGTAGAATTTGAAAACATAAAAGAATCTGATACAAATAATTGTAATAGTAATATGTGCAAGTGTGCCAAAAAATGTGAACAACTATATAATCGGATCAAGAACACATGTGAAACAAAATACGACTTTGGTTTATATAGTGCTTTAGAAAAAATACGAAAAAAACTTATTGATGAGAATTCAATAAAAGATTGCAATATAAATTTACCAGACATATTGCCTTTATCTCCAATACAAACTTTATTAGTTTCTACTTCAATTCCTATTGTTATGATTTTATTAATATTTTGTTCTGTAATTTTTATATATAAGGTTAATAATATATATATTAATACTATAAAAAAATAGTTGAAATAAGATAAAAAAAATATGTTCTAAAAATGTTTACATTCAATATAATATATATTTTTTTATTAGTTCACTCCATATCGTTCACACATACAACGTGTCGTAAAAAGGATAAAACATATATTTAAATATACAGATAAACAAAGGAATAAAATGCAACCATCTGAAACATATGGCAATATTTCATGGAATAGGAGATATAATGTTCTATATAAATCTGCATAGTTATGCGATTATACATATAATTACAAGAATATATTTCATTTAAAATCATATAAAAGGATTATGCTAAATGCTTTTTTGAGTGGTTCGATTAAAGTTTTCATATAAAAAAGAAATAGACCTTATAATATACTAAAAAAAAAATATAGATTATTTACTAAATTTAATGTAATAATGCTTCAAAAAAAATAATAGAGAATGTTAAAGATATTTTTTAACTCAAGAAAAACGACTGAAAACAAAACGAATATATATCATATATTTATATTTTTAATATTCTGCAGTTTGCATGAATATTATTTATTTTTTTTTTTATTAAGATCCATTTCATACATATAATTATTTAATGCATTTGAAATAAGACATTTAAATATATATATCCTTCTATTCTATTATATAGCATTATATAAAATGTACGTTCAATTATCAAAAAAATTTGACGAAAATTTATTTTTAGATAATATGATTTTTTTATTATTCATAAGAATTTTTTTCTTATAGAGTGTATTATGTACCCCATGATTTATTATATTAATTTGTACAATATTATTAAATACAATATTTTTTTTTGTAAATCGTTAGACATGCATCTTATTACTTCATTTATTGTAATAATCTTATTTATACCATTTAATAAGCCATTTTATATTACAATATATATTTTTCATTTGTTATATGAAGAATATCTAAATTTTTCACAATATATATAATACTGAGTACACTAGTAATCTTCATACATTCAGTGAAATACAATAAAAATTAAATTTTTTTTTCGTAAAAATGTGATAAATATTTTATATTATATATATAATATATGTGAGTGTGATTATTTATAAATAATTACTTCCTTATTATTTATATAGATTTAATATTACGCAATGATGTGTTATCAAGTAATCATAAAAAAATGTTATAACACATTGTATTCATTTTTATAAAAAAAAGTAAAAACCATAATAAAAATTAATTAGTACTACAAAATTAGAAAGAACAAAATTTACTTATGTATCCCATAAATATAAAAATAATCATAAATTCAAGGACATAATGATCGTATATGGTAATATATATAGACTAAAAAAAATTATTTTTTGTTTAATAACATATAAGTAAAAATTAGTTATTTTGTAGTATGCAAATACTATAACATGTAGCTTTTATGTTCCCCATTTTAAGTTTTTCAATAAATATATAGTTCACTTAATTAGTTTATTATTTAAATATTTCATTAACCATTATTATTATTTTTTTTATTATGCACGAGATTCCTCGCACACTACATTTTTGACATGTGTAATTTTATATATAATTGAATCGAATATATTTTCAGTAAATCAAAAAGCATAAAAGGAAAAATTCATGAATATTTATACACACACATTTTATAAAATGATTCTAATATATTTTTATATTATTTATAAAATATATAATAGTTATCTTAATTACTGTCTAAAAAGCTATATGCATACATAGGTAGTAACAATGTGCCTATACAAAAGATATTTCTATTATGACCATGCAAAATACTAAAATTTTTATGAGTATATACATTAAAAAAATCACTGTTATGAGAATACATAAATTTACTTTTATGTTATATATTATAATATACACAAAAATAAAAAGAAAGCAAATTAAAAAATCAACTACGACATTTAATATATAAACAATCAAGTTATATTTAAGATATATTGTTTATTCAAAGGAATACTTGGTACTATAGTCTGCATATATATATATATATATTTATGTAAATAATAATATTAGTTCTGTTAATTCATATATAATATTTATTTATTACGTTACGCATAAAAACATTAATTTGAACATTTTCATAATTTCATACATTCTTTTTCACATATATAATTGTTTAAAAGTATATAAATATATTTGTTAACAATTGTAATTTTTATTCATCTAAATATTACAAATATAAAATAAATTCAAAGCTATTATATTTTCTTGCATGTACAAGCATTAATATCTATGATAACAATAAATATCAGTTAGTACAAAAAATTATAGATCACATAAGTACAATTAACTAAATTAAATATATCATATAAAACATCATAAAATATATAATTCTTTAAAATGTACTATTTTCATGAAGATGAAAAAAGTTATAATAATCTATACATTTTGTTATATTGCATATTAGTCTGTTTGTTATATCTACAATTTATATTAAATTTCCTTATCTGTGATATTAGGTAAAGAATATTACTTTTTGCGTTTAATATTATAAGTGAATATAGAAAACATTACTTATTTAATAATTATGGTTTTAACACATATTTAATATTATGATTATATTTATATAGTGTTCTGTCTTATATGCAATGTATTTCTTTAGTAGTATTTTTTAAATATAATTTTAATTGAAATAACGATAGAAATAAAAAAACAAACAGTATATATGTATATATCTTATTTATTGCAAATTATATTCTAATAAAATATTAAAATCTATGAACAATAATAAATATAAATAAAAAATAAATTGTATATCACTGCTTTATTTTATCCAAGCATATTGGATACAACCAATTCTTATGGAGATTAATATGTTTAAAAATTATAATTCATTCATTATAATAAAAAAAGTAATAAACATAGAATCCTAAACCCTAAACCATAACCACTAAACGCGAAACTATGAACCCTAAACCCTGAAGTAAATACATAGAACGATTTTTCCTAATATTGTATGAATTAATGTTCCTAAAATATTATTCATTTTTTTATTATTTAATAATGTAATATAGTATTGCTTCTAAATATAAATTCATATTTAAAATTTTTAAGGCATACATTATTTTGCGTAACATTGAATATAATTTACATTATATTTTAAAACCAATTATAAAAAAAAACTATAATGCTTTATATTAAACATACTTATTATAGACAAAAGGAAATGAATATATAAAATTAAAGCATTATTACAGAGTGATTAATTATTACTAATTTATGTTTGCACTTTTAGATTCAGTGATAAGGATCTGTGTATTATTATGTAATAATAATTATAAATTCAATTTTATATTTAATACAGATATGATTTCTTCTTTTTATTTTTTTTTTTTTCTCCTAATATACAAATAATACATATATTCCAATGTTTTTAAGAAAAAAAAAACATTACTATATTTCTACCATTATATTTAATTTAAATTGATGGAAATTAATTTATTTTTTTATACTAGTAATTAATTTTTTGTTATTTAATAATAAATTGATATACTTTTTAAATGTAGTAAAAGACACTGTGCGTAATAAGAAGCAATATATTTTTTAATAGAATAACTTTTTTTTATACCATTATAATTGGAGGAGTGTTTATATAATTAATTGAGTTTTAATATTTTATTAGATGAGCTGTTGATATTCTCAACTTTTTTTATAAGTTTAATGCTTTGGTTTGTTATTTTTATTTTATTTAATTTTTACGATTTTTTTTTATTCCATAAAATTCAATTGATAAATTATTTTAAGCATAATTTAATGGTATTTTAATTTTATTCTTGTTTCTGATGCAACATTAATTATTTTTTATATTGAAGTTCATTTTATTAGTGAGCATAAATATTAAATATATAGTATAAATATATATTTTTATTCCATTTATCTCCATATAATGGTGTATCATAATACAGAAAAATAAAATATTATGTTAAATATATATCAATCAAACGGTTTATATAATTCACGTGTGTTTTAATAATGTAACCCTTTAGAACATAAAAAAGTTATATGCCCTTATATATATGTATACATATATATTTCATAAAACGTATTTAACTTATGTCTACTATTGATTTCATTAAAAAAGATCTATCTCTAATCTAAACAAATCCCATTTCCATGATTTAATCTGTTCAAATAAT